TATATATATATATGCACCCAGGACGAATGTTCACATATTCTTTATAAATCAACACCATAGTGTATATATATATATGAACCCAGGAACGTTGTTTAGATTTTCCATTTACAAGTGTAATTAAATTTGCACATTCTAAGTGTAATATCGCATTATGGTCACTAGGTGCACCATTCAGCACCATCTAGTGGCCATAAGGCAATATTACAGTCAGAACATTTGAACAGCCCTGCAAATTCTTTATAAAGCAACCTCTTTGTGTCATTTCTTTTTACAAATTTTCCCAGCATCCTGTAATAAAGAAAGCATGTACTGAGAGATATATAAAGGCTCTCCTGCTGACCTCTTTTTATGAAAATGCTTGTTCCCTGGATCATGCAAATCCAATGACTTGGAGCAGGAACACATATCAGACAGTCTGCATTTACTGTCTGCATGCTTTTGATGGGTCAGTGTCTTACAAACTATGGAGGTCAAAGACAGGCGGCAGCTAACCTTTTCAGAAGGAGGACAGCATTGGCAGCCTAAATATTTATCTCAGTTCAGGCTGCCTTTAATTTTGAAATGAAAACAAGACAATAAATCTAATTAGCTCATTTTTAAACTTTATAGTACAAGAATAATGTATATAGGATGTAATAACAAGCCACTATAAAATGTTATAATACTACTCACTCATCTCCTTCAGGGCACAGGCCTGTAGTCTCATCATACTTGGTACAGTAGATGTCTGGGCTGTAGTTGAATGTCCCATCTCTACGTCGTACTGACCTTCGCCGCCGCTGGTTGACAAAGTGCCAATGGAAGCAAGTATAGGGCCTATGCTGGGTACACTTGTGCTGTACAAATAAGGGGCATTGCTCAGTCCGGAATTCTTTTAGGTACCTGAGGAATAGGGAATAAAAACAATGATGAATTAGGTATCATAGTACATAGGTGTATACTGATAAACAAAAGCAATGCAACTGTAACAATCAGACACACAAGACTAGATGAATGGAGACCCAGATGAAAAGCAGATCCAGGCACACTAGCAACAAATCAGGTTTCATATTTAATGTTCTGGGCAACACTTTGCTTCTATACTACTACTACTACTATAAATCAGATAAACTAATGTTTCTCCCTTGCTGACTTGGCTGGACATGGTAAATACAACGTGGTCAGGTAACATGAGCTAGTAATCTGTGGCATCTCACCAGGTGCTCAGAAGTTCCATCCTGTGCATAGGTCCATAATATGAGACCGAAAAATTAAATGAAGGAATTTGACACGCGCGTGAGTCAGAGGGCGGTGAGTTAAACCTTGCGGCACAATGAAGGTGAGGGCTGGGGCGCCCCGGCTGAGGTGGGATCTCACAATCTGTACAAATCAAACCGTAGATCAAACTGTGTACGGAACGCTTCTAGGTTGCCATATTGCATTGAATTGTTTTTAACAGTTTTAGAAAGTCACAGCGTCTGCAGTTTTAAATAGAAAGGTCATTTTTAATAACATTCAATTGCAGCAATTATATATGCTATGTTCTTTTTTAGGATTTTTTTCAGTTTTTACTTTTTAAAGAAGAGTTTTCCTTTAAAGACACAATTTACTTTCATGTAAACGAAAGCCCTGTGACACGGGCCCTAAAAAAAAACAATGTGTGTGTTCCTGATGAAGAATCTATGTACAGTCCTCCTTGGCATTATGTTAACACACACCTAAATGCTCCAGACCAGCAAACCGCTAAAACTTCAACTTTTCGGGCCCGTTTCCACCAGCCTGTGCACTCACAATCACACTGAATCATGAACCATATTTATTCCCAGAGAATTTTTGTACAAGTCATTCTGAATTGAGAAAGCTGGTTGGATGACCAGTGAAACGTCTTCAAGAAAAATACAGCATGTCCAGTTGCCTCGACTTATTTCTTACAGATAAATGGTCAAAAAAGTTAAAGGAGAACTATGGGGCAACCTTTTTTGCCCACAGTTCACTTCAGGGTCACGCGAGGATGTTTCCCGTTTTCTTCCGGTGACCCAAAACTTAGCATACATCGGGCTATTACCCGCAATAGAGCGCAGGGCCATTCCACAGCCGGGATTGATCCCAACAATACTGTCAAGATCCACCTCGCTGGCTGGTTGACAGCTGGCTCTGCCCCTCTGGAGGCAGAGCCAGTTGTACCCGCCCCCTCCCCCATCCGTTCCGCCAGTCAGCGCTGGAGAAACAGAGAGGGGAGGAAGGAATCCCTGCAGACTGTCAGTTCGGGAAGTCAGCGATGGGGGCTATGTGTTCACTGACTTCCCGATCAATAGAGCCGACTTATGACAGCTTCAGTGTCACAGGTTGGCTTGAATTATGGGGATGAGTGTTTTTCACCCACCCCATAATTCTCCTGTAAAGGTGGCCACACACCTGCCAATTATCGTACTATAATCACGGGAAATCCCGCGACCGTACGATAATCGGCAGGTGTATGGAACGCGTGCGAAAATCGTAAGATTTTCGGCGGGTTTGTGGCATGCTCGTAAGACAAATGCCACACAGGCCGATGTGCGCAAGCGCACACTGCCCGCTCAGCATTGCAGTAATCGGAAGCCCTCCCCTCAGCGGGGCGGGCTTGCGATGATCACAAGTACGATCTGCCTGACCACGAGTTTTTAATTCGCTTACAACCATCGCAAGACAAAAGTTTTGCGATGGTTGTAAAGTGTATGGCCAGCTTAAGAGAAGAGACCATCGCTCTTCACAATTCATTGTGCTGACCTATTTCCATTGCTTTTCTTTGATTTGTTCAATGCAAGCAGCCAAAATACTTTTTCAACTTAAAGTGACATTAAACCCTCAGATTTTTTAACATAAAACAATACTGTAATGTGTGCCTTCTTGTAATCCATGGTTGTTTCCCTTCTCTTTGCTGCTCTTCCTTTTAAATCCTCATGTCTTCTCATGCTGGGGGGAGAACTTCCCTTTGCAGCTGAGTGCCTCTTGCTGTAGTGCTTGCTCAGGTTGCAAACCTACACACAGACACCGTGTATCCATTTCAGAGACAAGGCAGTCTGCTGCAAAACACAAGTTCTGCCCAGCATGAGAACAGATACGGATTTAAAAGGAAGAGCAGCAAAGAGAAGGGAAACAACCATGGATTACAGTAAGGCACACATTACACTATTGTTTTATGTTAAAAAATCTGAGGGTTTAATGTCACTTTAGGTTGAAAAAGTATTTTTGTGCACCGATACTGATTTTAGTGTGGTTTTATTAATTTCATTGTATATTTTTATCGGCTTAATATCGGTTTAATATTGATTTTATAAACATTTGCATAATTATCGCAGGAGCTACAAAATTAGTATCACCATCTTTTTATTCTACCGGGCCTGTGCTTTCAGAAAATATATGGTTTGAGGGGTCTTTTACAAACGCTAGCAACGCAGCAGTAGAGGATAAAAACAATAGGAAACATTTTTTAAATGGTGTGGCCAGCTGAGGCTAAAAACGTTCCAGAGGGCTTGGCAGCAAAAGAGTTAAAGTAAACCTTGCACTAAAAAAACGCTTATAGGGCTTGATTCACTAAAGGCAAATAGGCTGTTTACTTTGCAAATTTGCTGCACATTGCACAGCAATTTCCCCTTAGCTTGGTGAATGTGCTGAAATTTCACTTTGCAAAATAATACCCAATCATGTGCAAGGACAATAAAAAAAACTATTTTTGCTTGCACATGTTTGGGACCAAATGACATGATGGAAGTCAGCAGAGCTTCAACTGATTCAATAAACTAAGGACAACTTCTCCTGCAAAGTGCAAAATCCCTTGAAAAGTGAACAGCCTATATGTCTTTAGTAAATCAATCCCATGAAATCCCCTTTTCATTCAAACCCCCTCCCCATGCCAAAGCCTATGGGGGGAAAAGTTACCTCCTTCACACACAGGGCAAGAGCCTCAGCTAGTGCAATATTGATTATGTTAGACCAATCTGAGATCGCTTCATTTATGAACTAAGGTCTGTGACTACATCATTTAAAATGATTCTATCTAATTTGAAAATTATGTTCCACTTTTCTACCCCTGATGATAGTGAGGAGAAAGTTGCCAAAAAGACCCTAGAAAGCAAATTAAAACCTGAGCTAACCAATTCCCAATCTACCCAAAGGTTGAAAATGTGAGACATCAGGGGTCTCCAAGACCCCTAATGTCACCTAGGGACCCTAAGAGAAGTTGTGAAGCAGAGATGGTAAACCCGCAGCCAATACGAGCGATCGGGCGTCTGTAGAGACGCCCGATCGCTTGAATGTAAAGCTCCTGGCCGGCAGTTTAAAGGAGAACTATGGGGTCAGTGTTTTTCCCCATAGTTCTCCAAAGGGTAACAGGAGGACACAAACTAGCGTCATCCCGTTACCCTAAGCTCAGTATACCGCGAGCTACAGCTCGCGATATACTGAGACGCCGCAGCCGGGACGGATCACGACTCTTTTGACGGGATCCACCCAGCTGCGTGAGTGACAGCTGGCTCTGCCTATCTAGAGGCAGAGCCAGCTGTACCCGCCCCCTCCCCCGTCCGTTCCGCCAGTCAGCGCTGGCAGATCGGATCGGTGAGAGGGGAATGCAGCCCCTCCCCCTGTCACGGCAGAGAGCCGTGACAGGATCGAGAGGTGAGGGAATCCGGTATGTGTTCGCTCACCTCCCGTTCTACTGAGCCGACCTGTGACAGTGGAAATCACTCACCTCATAGTTCTCCTTTAATTACAACGGCCGGCCGGGAAGCTACTCGTCCGGCTCCGGCGTCCTTTCGTCACATAAGTGCGTAATATATATATATATAATATCCCCATATATGACAATTACGATGCATGGGGACCAATGAAGGTTGTTGCATGTGGTTTTGATGTGTTTTAAGTGGGTTTTATATACTTTTTTAGAAGATGGGGACCTCCAATAAAATCCATGTATCATTCTGTTTTTCATGCATTTCTGTTAAACAGTATCTAAAGTCAAACCTTTTTTCAGCTTTAGATTGGGGGAGGGGGGGTTAGAACCACTGTCAGGGTTTTATTGCTGTCTGCATCTGGGGAGATTCACTCTCTCTATTTGTCCTGGTGAGATTTTTCACCAAGAGGGAAAGCTGATGGAAAATAGATGTTACAGCTATCAGAATAGGAAGCGAGGATAAATCTCCAGAGACAAACGCGCGATTCGCAAGTCGCGCGATTTGCATTTCGAGCGATATCGCACAAATGCTTGCATTGAGCAAGCGAGAATCGCGGCAAAATCCGCTCCAAAAAGGTTCCTGCTGTAGCGACACACGACCCGCGAGAGCAGGACCCTTTGCCCCATTGAGATGCATTGAAGCGCGATAAATCGCTCAATGTGAACGGGGCCTAAGAAGGCGCGGACTACCACTGGAAGGAGCATACTTCCCACTGACCACCAATATAAGGATGTGCTTATGCGCTGATCACCAATATAAGGGGACCCTTCTCCACTGGCCACCGCTGGAAGGGGTATGTTTCCCAGCAGCATAAGGAGGTACTTATTCGCTGGCTACGAATGGAAGGGGACCCTTCTCCACTGGCCACCAATGGAAGGGGGCCATTCTCCACTGGCCACCAATGGAAGGGGGCCATTCTCTACTGGCCACCAATGGAAGGGGGCCATTCTCTACTGGCCACCAATGGAAGGGGGCCATTCTCTAGTGGCCACCAATGGAAGGGGACCCTTCTCCACTGGCCACCAATGGAAGGGGACCCTTCTCCACTGGCCACCAATGAAAGGGGACCCTTCTCCACTGGCCACCAATGAAAGGGGACCCTTCTCCACTGGCCACCAATGTAAAGGGAATGTTTTCTGTTGACTACTTATCTAAGGGACCCTTCTCCACTCACCCCCAAAGTAACAGGAAACTCAGCCCACGAACCACCAATGGAAGGAGGCACCATGCTGACCATCAGTGTAAGGGAGGGCATTTTAACACTGACCATCATACAAAGTGGCCTTTCTCTGCTGATCACTAATGTAAGAGATCATTTGTCAAATAACCACAAATGCGTGGGAGCATTTTTTTTATGACCACCAATGTAAGAGATTCTTTAGTGATCAGCTATTTATGGAGGATCAATGGCAGTGACAACCAATGTAAGGGGCCTTTCCCCACTAACCACCGGTGTAAGGGACCCTTCACCGCTGACCCCCGATGTAAGGGGGTCCTTTTACACTAACCACCAATATATGGGGCCCCTTTTACACTATGACCACCATTATACGAGGGCCCTTCTCCGCCGACCACCAATATACGAGGGCCCTTCTCCACCGACCACCAATATACGAGGGCCCTTCTCCGCCGACCAACAATATACGAGGGCCCTTCTCTGCCGACCAACAATATACAAGGGCCCTTCTCCGCCGACCACCATTATACGAGGGCCCTTCTGCGCCGACCACCAATATACGAGGGCCCTTCTCCGCCGACCAACAATATACGAGGGCCCTTCTCTGCCGACCAACAATATACAAGGGCCCTTCTCCGCCGACCACCATTATACGAGGGCCCTTCTGCGCCGACCACCAATATACGAGGGCCCTTCTCCGCCGACCAATAAACTACGAGGGCCCTTCTATGCCGACCAACAACATATATTGGGGCCCTTCTTTGCCGACCAACAATATATTGGGACCCTTCTCCGCCGACCAACAATATACTGGGGCCCTTCTCCGCCGACCAACAATATATTGGGACCCTTCTCCACCGACCAACAATATACTGGGGCCCTTCTCCACCGACCACCAATATATGGGGACCCTTCTCCACTGACCACCAATATGATGACCTTTCTCCACTGACCACCAATATATGGGGACCCTTCTCCACTGATATGTGGGGTATGGGTCCTTTCTCAACAGACCACTGATGCACAGACACAATTTCCACCCCATATGTTTCTTTTCTGCCCATTTGTATTCCATTCTTGGATGAGCACCACTGGAAATATATCTCAATCCTATTAATATATATAATTTATGAAAAGGGTGATAAAAGTGATCGCCTGCGGTGGTCAAATACACGAAGTAGGCCACACTCCTTATTCTTCCATTTATTATTACTGTCTACATCTTCCTGATCAAACCAATGTGCACCAAGCTGCAGAGGAAGTGATTCACTCCAGCCAAGGATTGGAGGGAATTCGCCAAAGCAAATTTGGAGGGAAAATCTCCGGACCATGTGAGTCACCAGCGACTGCTCAGTGACCAATTCTTGTGGAATGAACAATACAGAAAGAGTGACACATTAGAGCTCCGCCGTGTTGTGACAACGCCGAGCCCCGCACTCCCGGCACCCCTAACCAAGCCCCGCCCATTTTCTCCAGGTTTGACCGGTTCCCGCCGGCCTGGGCGCGGGGCACTGCGCGTGACTCACGCCTCCCGCTGACGTCAGTCGTCTTGAGCAGTGTTTTTTTACGTACGTGTAGTGCTGCGGCTTCTCGGGCTGCGGCTGGAGCGCTCCGCCCGCCACTGCTGCCGGGGAAGTGGACGAGGCGGACGGTGAACTGGGGACAGGGCCCTTAGACATCTTCGGGCCTCCTTTCTACGTTCCCTTTACCGCTGGCTCTACGCGGAACGGCGCGGTGGGCTCGAGCGCGCCTGCGCGGACGCCATGACAGGAAGTGAGAAGTGCTTCCGAGGCATTGTGGTGGAGAATAAGACGTACTTCGCTTCTTCTACCACTGGAGGGCGCATGTAACAAAACAGATGTGAGCGGGTTGATTTTTCGGATGCTTGCCGCAAAGCATACTGGGAGTTATAGTTCATTGATCGTGAGAATGTTTACGGTAACAGTTCCTGTACCTGGATGATGATGTTGGGGAAGTGAAGATTAGCAATCATCGATAACAATGATCACAAGAGAGGCTTGTGATATAAAAAAAGAATGTGGATGATATAGAAAAAGGTTCCATTTCTGCAGAAACCCTATCACCACCACCTGTCTGCATGTACCTGGGAGCTGGGAGGGTGCAGACACCTCCAGCTGATGGTCATACATGATTGGATGAATCTAACACAAAACTTGGCTTGTTAAATAAAGTGAAAGTGCAACTAAAGCCAAGACTTTTTGTTTTAGTTCTGGTTGAGTGGAGAGGATTAGAACCCCTGTCAGGGTGTTATTTCTGGCGGTGTCCCCGTTGGGGTGATTCACCCTCTTTGTTTGTCCCAGTGACCGTTATCACTTAAAGTGAAGGAAAATCTCAAATTTTCACTGGACATGAGCAGGGGCTTGGTGTGAACCCATTTCCACTGTGAATGACACCCCCTCCCGTGACCCAATCAGTTACGGTGGGGTGTTCCCCACCCCTTTGTGAAATAGCTGTGGGGCAGGGAATGTGAGCTGGGTTTATACCAAGGCTTCGTACGTCATTGGTTGTCATCAGAACAGGAATAGATGGGACATCTTCCAATGGGGACACTAGTTCTGGTGACCCTGCTATCAACCAGGGATTTCCCTCTTCGGAGGAATATCGTCTCATTTCCTGTTCTAGCTATCAGACAGGAAGTAAAGGGAAAGCTCCCCAATGGGACACAGGTGGCAACAAAGCTGACAGGTTATCACTAGGAATTCACTGATATGGGTTTTTCAGTATCGATATGTATTTTTTAGTACTCGCTGATAACTAGTACCAATACCCATACTTCCACTAGCATGGAGACGTCATTAACTGCCGCCTGGCTTCCTGATTGGCCGGAGAGCGGACTCCATGCTGCTTGGCCGCCTCGATGCTGATTGGCCAGGAAGCCGGCTTACTGGCTAGTCAGGAAGGCGGGTTAGAGGAAATCTCCCTTCGACCGGAAGTTCCAGTATCAGGGGTAAGTATTGGTATCGCTACATCCCTAGTTATCACCCTCCCTTACTCTGTCCCAGGGATAGGCAACCTTGGCACTCTAGCTGTACTGAAACTACAAATCCCATGATGCCTCCGGGAGTCATGCCTAGGGCGTGATAGTCTTTCAATAACTTATGGGACTTCTAGTTACACAACAGCTGGGGTGCCGAAGTTGCCCATCCCTGCTGTATCCAAAACTAAAAAAAAAAATTTGGCTTCAGTTCTACCTCAAAGTTAATCTAAAACATTTTTTTTTTCATTTTTGACACAGTAAGGAATTTGTTAAACCCGTGTCCCACCGAGGCAGACTATGGTACCTGGTTTTGCCGGAGGTCCCTTTATTTAATAGGGCTGAAATTGTGTTCCTAGTACAAAGCATTGTGACGTGGTGTTCCTGTAAAATAAAGGCTTTTAAAGATCATTTTAACTATGGGGAAAAGCCCTGAGCCCATAGTTCTCCTTTAAGGCGGCATCACAAAATCAAAGTATAAATGTGAACGGGTAAAACAAATCTAGGGGAAGATCTCCCTGCCTGGGTAAGAGTAAAGTCTGTGGGGGGAATTTATCGGAGCAATTGCGAGTGTTTGAACTTGCACGGAATATATTTGATGCACTTTGCGCCAGATTTATGTTGCTAGTGTAATGTTGTTGATAAATGAGGTCCAATACAGGTGAAACTCGATTAGAATATCGTGCAAAGTTCATTTATTTCACTAATGCAACTTAAAAGGTGAAACTAATATATGAGAGAGACTCATTACCTGCAAAGCAAGATAATTCAAGCCGTGATTTGTCATAATTGTGATGATTATGGCTTACAGCTCATGAAAACCCCAAGAACCCCAAATCCACAACCTCAAAAAAGTAGATTATTACATGCAATCAATAAAACAAGGATTGTACATAGAACTATATCGGACCTCTGAAAAGTACAAGCATGCATATGTACTCAGTACTTGGTTTGGGCCCCTTTTGCAGCACTTACTGCAATGACTTTTGCACGATATTCTAATTATTCGAGTTTCACCTGTAGACTCCAGGTAAGAAGACTCGTAACTCCAGGCAAAAAGCTTAAATGTCGCTTCTTGAAGTGGTCATGGGGACTTCTTAAGTTGTGATTGTTTTGTTAGGTGATGCTCCAGTTTCAGACAGCCGCAGGACAAGTGCAGATGAAAACAGGTGTAAAACACGTGCAGTTGGAAAAGTAGTGCAAGCTCAGGTGAAAACAGGGGCACATGCTAAAAGACAGATTTGCACATAAAAAAAATGATCTAAGAGACTAAAACTGTCGTAGTTGCTTTTATAAATTCCCCCATGTCTACTAGTCCATAGAGTCCAGTGTTCTTGTAGGCAGTGCCAGTGTTCTATCAAAGAATGTGATTGGGTTGGAATGTGTGAAATATGGGGAAAAACACTGACCCCATAGTTCTCCTTTAAAGACAAGTTGGAGTGGAAGTGACCTTCCTTTATTTTACATTGTAACTTAGAGAGCCACAATTGAACTGAAGGAGGTTGGGGTCTCTCCATTTCAGAGGTATACAAGCTCTGGCGGCATTCAATAAATGGTGTGCAAGAGAATGCCGATATTTGGAGATCGGATGCAAAGTGAGGTGTAACAGACATGCAGTGGGGTTGCCTCTGAGGTTCGCTCCTGTCGGGGTCTCAACAATGCCCAGCAACTTCTACCAGAAAGGCCGTAAATTAAGACAAGACCAAAATATGTGAGTACCTGTCATTTTGCATTAAATGGGGAAAGTGCCAGATTCTCTTTGAGAGTAAAATTGTAACCATGCTCCTTGCTGGGACTACTTCATCTTAGAATGGAGAGCTATAAAGAATGACATGTCAGACACATGCTGGAGTATTTCTTCAACAAAGTGGAAAAAAACATTCAGGGAGATTGGCCAGGTGCCCATTCTCGTATATACTGTATAACTCGGTGGTGGGGTAACTCCAGTTGTCATGGAACTATAAATCCCATGAGGCATTGCAAGATTCCCAGAGACAAATGCATAATGGGATTAGTAGTTTCACCACAACTGGAGGGCCGGAATTTGCCCACTCCTGGTATAACTGTACTATGACTTGTGGAAGGGTTGAAGAAGACTGAACATTGGCACTTGAAGACCTTTCACAGGAAATAAATCATTCCGGTGATTAAATCCAACTTTACATTTCTGTAGTGAACTGTTTTGTAAATAAGAATGACAGTTATAAAGACATCCCAGGCCTGAGGCAAGGTCACGGGGAACGATCTGATTTGAATTGTAATCCCGGTTCAGTTTGATATAACAGTTGTTATTGTTTACAGTATAGATCTATTGTAGGTCCTGCGCCCGCCATTGTGACTCATCACCGGGGACTGCGAATGCTAAGAGAGGAGAACAGTCCCTGGGAATAAAAGGACAAAGAAGTGATAATTACTGACGCCCGAGGAGGAATCGTTTGCTTTATATGTTTATCACTTCTCCCAACACTCTTCTATCATCTTCATTATATATATATACTGTAACAAGGACACTCCACTGTAGTCCAGGTAAGTCAAGGAAACCACAGTTTATTGAAAGGGCAAACACAAAATAGCTTGAAACAGCAACATAAGACAGTCATTTAGCTTCGCTCGGTAGCTTTCTACAGCTTCAAGACACTCACGCTTGCTCACCCCTCGTGAGCCCTCACTCTGCTCTCTTAGTAGTCTGTCCGATAGGTCCCTGGGGTCACCGACCTTCCTGACCTCTCCCAGCCACCCCTGGCTGTCCCGTGTGCGTCCAGCACGCACCCGAGTTTGTCTGTGTGCTCCCTGCACGCACACACACACAACTCCACCACTCTCCTGAGCACTGGGCTGGCTTCCTGATAAGGCTGCTCTCAGCCACCTGATTAGCCCAGGCTGGTCAATGGCAACACCTGGCCCCAGGACTGGAGATCTCATCCCACCCAGAGCTCTACGAAATCTCCAGAGCTCCAGATCCCAGCTGCAAATAGGAAAACCTGGACAGACCTGAAAAGCCAGGTTCTTCCTTATAACGTGTTTCACATTCTGGACCCTCTCAGCCCCTCTGGCTGAGAGTCCTGGGTGCCAAAGTCGCCATCCTACACCGTGGCATTGGCTTACACTGCCACAATACTGACTGGATACTGCGCAAGGTAACATAAAACATTGTTTAACCACTTGCTGACCGCGGTGACCCCCTTCCTGGCCAGGCCATTTTTCAGTATTCAGTGCTGCGGTACTTTGACATTTATTCCGTCATGCAACGCTGTACTGAAATGAATTGTATACCATTTTTTGGGTACAGATCGAGCTTTTTTTAGGTGGTATTAAATCCCCACTGGGGGTTTTTATTTTATACTATATTAAGGAAAAATTACTGAAATTTTTTTTTTACAGTATGTTATAATACATTTATTACCCAATTTTTTTGTTAAATAAAAAAGACGGGGTTACGTCGGGTAAATAGATACCAAACATGTCAAGCCTTAAAATTGCTCGCACCCGCGAAATCACAAAAAACTACTATACCCAAAATTGACCATAGGCGACGCTTTAAAAGCTTGAAGCATGTTTGCATGTGTGTATGTATGGGTGGGGACTTTAAAAAAAAAAAATTGTGTTTCTTTACAATTATTTTTCATGTGTGACTTTTTTTTTTGCAACTTTTATTTTTGTATCTTTTTTTTCCCCACTTAACTTTATTGTTATCACATAGGGGGCTAAGAAGCCCCCCTATGTGATAGCAAAGAGGATGTGATATGTCCTCTTTAAGGAGACATCAGGGGTCTCCAAGAACCCTAATGTCACCTAGGACCCCCC